AATATGGCAGAGATGTGTTGATCCAGCTGGAAAGTTTCTTGGAACAAACTTTTCAGGAACAGAGACTTTTTCTCTCATTTCATACTAAAACTTTATGGTGGTACAGGGACTTAATGGTAGCAAGTTTAGTGTAGACAAGAAATACTACTTCATACAATGCATATGTAAATTATAGAATTCACTGCTAGAAGATGTGATGGCCAGTAGTTTTGATTTTAAAGGGGATTAGACAGCTCAGTCTGTGGCTGCTGACCATGATGGTTAAATAGAACCAGGTCCAGAGATGATATGCCAGTTGCTGGGGAGTGACAGGAGGAGACAATTGCCTTGATGTCATTATTGAAGTTCTTGGAGGCATCTGGTTGGCCACTGGGATGTAGCACGTTGATTTAGATCAGGGGTGCCCAAACGTTTTTCAAAGAGGGCCAGATTTGATGAAGTGAACATGCGTGAGGGCCGACCAAAGTTATTGAGCTTTTTTTAGGATTGAACTTGTTGAGCTTTTGTTAGGATTTGACCCCAATAAATATACTGCCACAGGGGCTGGATAAAAATGGCTGGGGGGCCAGTCACGTCCCCAAAACAGACTTTGGACATGCCTAGGCTGGTCCAGCAAGTCTCTTCTTTATCTTCTTTGGTGGTCCAGTAGAATTCTGAAATTTATTCTTTGGAGGCGAAGGTGTGGTGTTAATGTGTTTAGCCAGTCTGTAATAAGCACAGCCATATTTTCTCCATGGATAGGAAAACTGTATGGAGACGGTGACTATTTGGAAGAGAGGCACAGACACAGATACGAGGTATGCAGCAATATTTATCAACCCCTGCCACCACATTGGCTTTTCTGAAGAGAAGTGATTGTATGACACCACTTTCCCTTCCACAGGTAAACCCAGAGTTGAAAAACACCTTTGAAGAAAACGGTCTGAAATTTGTGGGCCAGGATGTCGAAGGAGAGCGAATGGAGGTGGTTGAGCTGGAAGGTAAGCACTTGAATTAGTAGCTGGGAGACTGACACTGTTGTCTTAGGCAACAACAAATATGGAAAGAGGGACTCTTCCTTCCTTGGATGGGGAGAATGAATGGCAAGTACCGCAATAGTTAGTAGATGCAGCAGAGAGACGGATGATGGTAATCAGAAAAGCTTTATATTGCCTATGTACTTTGGCCTGGCCTTGCCGATTGAGAGGGCTTCAGATAGTAACCTAACAAAGCATGTTACCACCTTCTCTCCTAGAGCATCCATTTTTTGTCGGTGTTCAGTTTCATCCAGAGTTCCTCTCCAGACCTATAAAGCCATCTCCTCCTTACTTCGGCCTCCTCCTGGCTTCTGCAGGGAGGCTCACACATTATCTACAGAAAGGATGCAGACTCTCCCCAAGGTAAGTTCAGCTTGAGTGTCTTGGCTCGTGGTATAACTGCCAGCTTGGCGGTGTTTTCTGTTCAGCATGGTGCACCAATGAAAGGCTGTCTCCTATTTCTGTTAGGCATAAAAACCTTCAGGCTGTATTGTATCTTCCTTCCTTGAACTTGGGCCTACAATATCAGTAATGCCTTTGTAGAATGAAAGTGTAGGGAGTTGTGCTTCTACTGTGGCTCATTAGTCTCTGGCTTAATCTCCCTCCTTAGGAAAATTGGTCTGCTTTTATCTTTTGTTGCAGCTGACATCAGTATACTGTTCGTTAAGTAGTGGAGAATACTGCTGACACATATTTTGGGTATCAGTGTCCTAAATGCTCTTTGTCATGATTAAGGCCAGTCTTCTGGTATCATTGTACTTACAAAGAAATTGCTACCAAACAATCTCTCCCCGCTTTCCATCCCAGTGTAGTCTGGCACTATAGTACTGCCTGCCAAAGGCTTGTGGAGTTTTGCCAGACTCAGAATGACTCTTCACAAAATTGCACTCTCTAGGAGCTTTGTCTCGGAGAAGCTGCAAGGGGATGTGCACAAGGCTTACATTTTCTGTTCAACATAGCGAAGGAGGAAGTCCATTCATCTCCCCTGCATTTTGGTGTGTGTTCTAGAGATGTGGCAGTCTCCTGTATATTTCCTCTGGCAAAATGCATGCTCCCCCCCCCCTTTGTACGCCGCACATGGTATCCTTTATTGCTAGTCTGCCCAGCACTTGAAGTTGCCCCTAGAATAAAAGGCTGCAGGAATCCTTAATGTCACCTGGTCAGTGCCTGCCCTCTGCACTAAGAAGGCCCATGCCTTTTTAACCATTTGGGCTATTTTAAAGAACAATACAAGCCACAAATTGGATGTATGAGAATCCTTAAAGGCAGGAAAGCAGGCCTGGTGTCAGCACCTGATATCCTAGAGCAGCTGTTGGGACTCTGGTGGCCCAGTAAGACCCACCAGCACTGGTGTCTCTGCCCCCCCCCCCAGTTAGGTGACTGGGGTCCGAAAGCCATATTTATTTCATTCTGTACCCTAGAGTGACACTAGGTCAGATGCTGTGGGGCACTGTGAGAAATTAAAATGTTGCTGTTGTCACTGCCAGATTTTCTGAGAAGGACCAGCTAGGCTACTTTGTGGAAGTCTGTCATAGGCTGTAGTTCCTGACTGGCTAGATCATTTAGATGAACTTGCATTTGTAACTAATGAACCAGAGCCAGTGTGTAGAAGTGCTTATCTTTCTAATGGTCTGAATGTTACAGGGATACCTACAGCGACAGAAGCGGAAGTAGTTCACCAGACTCTGAGATCACAGAACTGAAATTCACTGCGGTGAATCATGAGTGATTGCTGGTAATGCTGTCCTTTCATGTTCTGAACTTTCAAATTATCTTTCTTCCATCTCTCCCAGTTGTGAATTTGGGCCAAATCTCTGGGCGTTTCTTAACCATGGGGGGAAAATTGTCTGGTCTTAGTGCTTTCAGACTGGGAGGAGTGGCATCTCAAAGCATAGTGCACAAATACAGGCAAAGCTAAATATACCATGAGATCTACATGTTGAACCTGGCTATTGTGCCTTGGTAGCAGTGACATTTCCATGCACATTGCCTTGGGTCCTTTGGTGGAAAGGAAAAGCAGTGTGGTGTAGTGGTTAGAGTGTCAGACTAAAGAGACAAGGATTCAAATCCACAGTTTGCCATGAAGTTCTCTGGGTGATGTCAGTGACTAACCTGTTCTGTAAAGATGTGTCAGGAGAGAAATAGGCAAACATTTTATGCTACTGAAAGCTAGCTAGCATGTAAATTGGGCCACATTCCCTTCTGAGTAACTGTTTGGGGGCCATGTCAGTGGTGGGTGGTGTCAGAAGGAAACATACATTTGACTAGTTAACACTTATGCACACACAGAGAGATTATCCTCCATTCAGACAAGAGGCAGTCAGAGTTCAAGGAGTTTCCAGCCAGGCAAAAATACTCGAGAAAGTATGGAGCATGAGCAGTGAGAGGGGTGACTGAGGATGGTGTGTGGCCTGGGGAGACTCCCAAGGGCCAGATGGGAGAGGCTTGGGTTTCTGGGCCTGAGGTTTCTCACCCGTGATGTAAATATACTAAAACAAATGCATTTCTTTTATTTTAAAAAAATCCTTTTGTCTCTCTTACCTACCCTCCTCCCCACCATTCCAGATATGCCTAATTTTCAGAAGATCCTTCATTCCTTCGATGCAATAGTTGAACTGCTGGAGTCTTTTAAATCACGTCACATTAATTGTATTTTGAAAAATCATGGCACACTTCTTTTGTTCATTTAAACTTATTTTGTATTCTGAGAAGCTGACACAGTGGGGCTCACCCATGCACGATGGTGAGCTTAAAAACAAGAACTTCAGAAACAGAGCAAAGAGGGGGACAAATTCTGGATTTCTGAAGAGCCTTGATACACCAGTGTCAGTGTTGCCAAGGAGAATATGTCTAGGCTTTCTGTTCACTTCCATTGTGGTTGGTTTAAATTACAGTATTTACTCTCTTGGTGGATTGTGGGAAGGGAGGTGCCACAAAGAGGGAATAACTTGACACATATTGAGAGAAGCAAAGTGGTGAGATTTGGTGCCACCATTGAACCTTTGTTCCAGGAGATTCCTCTTCCTGCCGGTCAAATCTTAGGGTATTTGGTTAATTCTAATCCTAAACAAGTCATATTAGGCTGCAGTGATATAATTAAAATAGAGTATAACACCACCACCCCTTTTAGAAGCTTGTGATGGGCAGTTTTTGTTTTTGTCCTGCTTCCTGGACTGCCATAACTCCTTGCATCAAGGGGGCCACGTGTACAAGAAAGTGACTTTTCAGAAGCTGCCTTTGCAACTCTCATTGAGAGACTTGCCTTGGACTAAAAAGTCCGAGGCCTCACACTGCTGGGAACTTGTCATGTGACACATATGCAATATGTGGCCTGTGCTCAGCAATATATTTACTCCATCCCAAAGAAGAGGAAAAGGGCGACGCTAGGCTTCTGAAAAAGGCGGGAGCTGCATGAAACAAGTGTTTGTAATCTCCCCTTTTCCAGTGTAGGTTGTAAGCTACCTTTCCAGCAAGCTAGGAGAAACTCTGTTACTAAAAAAATGTACCGCATATCTAAACACTTCTGAGTTTAATAAAACTTGGGGAACACAATCTGTGTCTGTTCTGGTTATCTATCAAACTTGAGGACTCATTTTACACTCGCCCCCCTTCACCATCTTGCTGTAAGATGCTGTCTGCTTCATACCTGTTTCTCCTTCCTGCTAATGGGTTATGTCAGCAACTTCCTGCATAAGTAGTTGAAGAAAAATGCTGCTATGGAAAGCAAGGGCTAATTATCTGTAGAGATTGTTAATAACACAAATTTTCCCTCCCACTTTTTCATAGCTTTACCACCATGTATGGCATTTTTCGGAAGCAAAATCCAGTGGTGCCATTCAGAGTTTAAATATTAATGTGCTGTCTTGATGCCAAAGGAGAATAATGCTCTCCAGTAGCCTTGAAGAAGGTACCCAATTTAGGAATAAGACCCAGTCATGGCTCCAGAATTCTTCCTGCAAACCACCTACAAATACAAGAAACCTGTTAGACGCAAGCTCTTTATTGGGCTACATTTCCTTTGTGTGCAGGTTTTGTAACTGGTTGGCTTGTGGTGGTGTTTAGCTGTCACCTGAAAAAACAGCAGGTAGCATTGCTGGCATTTTGTTGCTGGAAGGCTTCCTTCTCCTTCAGCAAGCTCTCTATTTTCACCTCCAACTTCTTGATCTCCTCCGTCCATTTCTGGAGATTTATAAAAAGCAGGAGTTATTTCCTTTCAGATATTTGCAACTGCTGCCAAATTACCTTTTTGTCCAAAATTGATCTCTGGCAGTGAGTTTTGCTAGAAGGGTGAATAGATTTGAGGGAATTGGCAGTATGTATTTCAGGCCAGGCTGTGTTTGGCTTGGTTCAAATGCAGCAGTAAGTGATAGCTATGGTGTGCATCATCAAGCAAAGAATAGCAATCAAAGGCCAAAGACAGCAGATAATGTGATTTATTGCATCTGCCTGCTATGGCTGCCACAATTGTCAGTCCACCAGGAACAGAATTAGTCAATAGTGCTTTTTTGGGCTGGAACTATGTGGGAAGCTGATCAAAAGGTTTTATAATTTCCCCCCTAATAGAATTCATATTTTGAGGCATCTATTTTTACAACAAGGTCCACTTCCTCACTGATAACCAATGGAAAGTAATTTGGTCTTAAATGTTTTAAAGGTCATTATTATTTATTATTAAATTTATATACCACCCTATACCCTCAGGGTAGTTATAAGTCACTTAGTTCTTATCCTCCCCTAGCTCCAGTGTAACATTTTCTGAAGAAAGCAGTGAAGGTGCTCGTCTGTGGCTAAACTTTCCCTATGGCTATTGAGCCAAGTTGCAAATAATTTTGACAAAATAAAACTCTCCCACTCTGCTGCCACGTATCAAAACCCAGACTCAAAGTGACACACAAAAATCCACTTAGGGATTTCCTCTCTGCCTTTCATTTCAGCAGCCTAATTGAGAAAGGGGGGGGGGGAGACAGGAAAGTGCTTTATACTGAACCAGACCATTAGTTCACCCTTCAGTATTCTCTACACTGGCTGGTAGCTGCTCTTCAGGGTTGCAGACAGGGGAGATGTCAGGAGTTGAGCATGCATGCAAGGCAAATGATTATCACTGAGCTATGGCCCTTCCCCCATTTAACAATGGTAACAATTGTTAATTTGTTAATTTGACCAAACTGCGGGAGGTAGTGGATGACAGAGGTGCCTGGTGTGCTCTGGTCCATGGGGTCACGAAGAGTCAGACACGACTAAACGACTAAACAACAACAACAAAACAATTGTTAAAACAATTTGGGAAGCCTTGCATTTCACTTGGAAATAGACCAGTAGATTTCAATCCTGCTAGGCTGTGCAAAAACTGAAAATTACCTGCCGGCACCACTCTTGAATGGCGCTGCCAGTAAGGGGGCCCTGAATACTACCTTCTCGTCGCATGTATACTTCCCCTTGGTCTGTTTCATAAAGGAGCGGCTTGTTCTGCTTTGGAAGATGAACACTTAGTCGGATAACTTTCAGGAAGATGCCAGTGTCTTCGGCTTTGATAACTGGGATGAAGCTCAGCGTGTAGTCCGATGGGAAAACCTGTGGTTTAAAGCCTTTCAAAAGAGAATCTATGAGCAGCCGGATCCTGTCTTCATCTTTGTGGTCACACCTGACGCCACGTACCATGCCGTTATCCTCAACCCCCACAAAAAGGCTGCCACCTTCACTGTTGAGAAATGCGCACATATACTTCCGCACATGATGTTTTAGGGTACCTGCCAGATATTCCCCACTTCCACGTTTGAATTCCACGTTCCGGGTTTCGCTGCCCATGGAAGCTCCATAGAATAGGCACTCTTTCCCTACGATCGCTCTCTGGACAATGGCACTGTCTGAGCGGGTGCCGCTCAGAAAGGCCTCTGGCCGTTCTGCCATACAGGAGTATTGAGGAAACTTTCTGATGCGGTTGAGATGGTGTTCGTTTAGAATCAACTTCCTGCTTCTCTCATACCCTTGCCCTCCCAGAAAAGTTTCTGAGCTGCTGCCAACAGAGTCACTCTGCAGACATGACAAGGAAAAACAGGTAAGGGCAAATGCCATGGAGATGGGCAAATACAATTCTTTGGGGTTGGGGGGAGGTAGCGTCATTTAAACTAGGAAGCCATTTAATAATAATAATAATAATAATAATAATAATAATAATAATAATAATAATTTTATACCCCGCCCATCTGGCTGGGCCTCCCCAGCCACTCTGGGCGGCTTCCAAAAAAATATTAAAATACTGTAATACATCAAACATAAAAGCTTCCCTAAACAGGGCTGCCATCAGATGTCTTCTAAAAGTCTGGTGGTTGTTGTTCTCTTTGACATCTGGTGGGAGGGTGTTCCACAGGGAGGGTGCCACTACCGAGAAGGCCCTCTGCCTGGTTTCCTGTAACTTGGCCTCTCGCAGTGAGGGAACCGCCAGAAGGCCCTTGGTGCTGGACCTCAGTGTCTGGGTAGAACGATGGGGGTGGAGACGCTCCTTCAGATATACTGGACCGAGGCCGTTTAGGGCTTTAAAGGTCTGCACCAACACTTTGAATTGTGCTCAGAAACGTACTGGGAGCCAATGTAGGTCTTTCAAGACCGGTGTTATATGGTCTCGGCGGCCGCTCCCAGTCACCAGTCTTGCCATTATTTAGATAATGGCTATAACATACAAACCGCTTTAACAACCCTCTCCCTTCTTGTCTCACACTTATGCTGGGAGTTAGACAACTCATCATCTGAGACATGAAAACGGAGGCAATAGGGTCTGACTCTGCTAGGGGCTGAGCTAGAGGAAATGCATGTATCTAGTAACGAAACAAGTTGACCTGGGTGATTATTAAACAGTCACTGGAAGTTTGAAAGTGAAATCTGGGGTGTTTGCTCAGATGCTTGACTATAGAAACTATCAAAAAAATGGGGGCAGGAATGTAGGTGATTAATTTATTTCCTTTCACTGCTTGGATCAGTATCAAGAAATGTAATGTACAGCACTCTGAAGGTCTAATGAATATTCTCTTTTGTAGGAAACTCAGCCGGATGGGTGGGGTATAAATTATTTATTATTATTAATAATAATAATAATTATTATTTTCTTTCAGTGTTCCCATTGCTGGTGTCTTACCTCTCTGTTACCTTTGGCATGAAATGCAAACGTCTTGCCATGTCCCACGACGAGATTCTTCCCTTTCTTCACAAGCTCCTTGGTAAGCTCCGACTCTGTCTCAGAGGCAAGTAGCAGATGCTTTATGACATGCTCCAAGTTGGAGTCTGTGGCTACCTGGACAAAGGCATAGGCTTGCCTGCGTTTCTTTACCACTTCAATGTTGTGTCTCTGGAGGGTGACGCTAGCCATGCCCAAGATGTCCTTGAGCATGCTGCAGAGAACTTCGCGGGAATACTTGGGGTTCAGGTTGCCAACGTAGAGAACATAGGGACGTGCCTGCCCAGAATCTTCATCTTCTTCTACCTCCTCCTCAGCTTTTGCCTCTGTCAAAGACTGCTCTGTGGCCTGGTCAACGTTGTCAACTGGTAATGCACATTCTACTATGATCTCTGGAATGGTTGTTGCTTCCATTTGCAGACCTAAAAAATGGTCTGAAAAATTCTAGAAGCGGGATTGGTGGTAGTTGCTCTTATTCCTCATTGGGGTATAGCTGGCTGGTGTACAGGAGGCCAGACTGCCTTGCTAATTCTATGCTGAACTTACTCTTATTACTTAGCACATGACTGAAGTATGGTCACTAGTTTCTGGCTTATTTCTGTGGTCGATGAAGAAACAGGGAGCTACAGGAACTGTGGCGGAAAAGGCCTTGGCATGGTTTCAAAGCCTACGGGGGAAAAGAACCCGCAATAAACCTGAATTTTGCTTCTAGCAGTCATTATGTTGTCTGGAGGCAAGGATTGCAATCTGCCAGTAGGCAGTTGCTTTTCCTTGGCCCTCTCTTTTATATAGAGTAGGTCAATGAGACTTAAGAACATAATTGCCTTGCTGGGTTCAACCCAAGGTTCATATATCCCAACACTCTAATTCCAAAAGTGGCCAGAAGATGCACTTAGGAGCTCACAAGAGCAGGTGCCACTATTAATCTTCAGCATGTGGTCCCTGGCTGCATGCTGCTTCTGTACCAAGAGGTTTTATTTACCTACAGTGGCTAATATTCATGGAGACAAGGTCTGTGTCCATCAATGGCTAATCCTTTTGAAAAAGCCACCCCAGCAAGTGGCCATTACAGTATCTTTCAGTACAAATGATGTTGAGAATTATCCCTACTGATTGCTAGAACTTAGTATCCAATCAGGCTAATTTGCAATGTATGAGAGGCAGAACATTCTCTCTATCCATTTATAAACCTTTGCCAGAGTTAATTTTTTTGCCCAAGGATAACTTCTATTTCCCTACCCTCTGCAGCATCCTCAAAAATCAAGTTACCATGGAAGGAGGTGGTGCTCATGATGGACTGAACAGGTTTTTGTTGTTGTTCAGAAGCCCTGCTGCTTCCAGGTAGGCCCTTCTTTGGCCTGTCCCCTCTGAGTCTCTTTAATAGAGCTTAAATTGTGAGGTCATAGATGCCCTTGCTACTTACAGTTCTAACCTGTGTTCAGTTGGATCCCACAATGAAGGAGGAGGCCTATGCTTCCTGTGGACAAGCAGTACTTGCTCACCTAAAGGAAGATGGACACAACTGCTTCCAATTTGAAGCTTAAATACCACAGCAAGGTTTCAAGATACCAGCAATAGGAAGGCATTAGAATTGCAGTGAGCAAATACCCGGACTGCAGCAACTGAGGGTGTGTGTGTGTCAGTGGTAGGGAACCCAAGTCTTAGGGGTTAAATGCAGCACTCCAGTCTGTTCCCACTGGTCCTTGACACTCTCCCTAGGTCACACCTTTTCATGATCCATGGCCTCCTTGAGTGTTTTTGCCCAGCTGGAATGTGTCACTGAACAGTGATATAAATGCTTTTGGTTTTACCTGGATTGAAAATTGAACAGTGCATGTGCAGAAATCGCCTTTCGAGTTTTGCATGGCTGGAAAGCTGCCTACCATACATACTAAAGGTACGAGTTAACCTAACCCTTACCTGTGTATGCATTTCAGTTGTGCTACATCATATTTAAATGCATTTACCGTGTAAATGGAAGATTCTCTTGTAGGGAATGAGAAAAACAGGGTTGCAAGTGGAAACCTTGGTAGTGGTCTTTACTGCCTCCATCTCAGACTCTGTTGTTAAGGGTGTGGGGATGGAAATGATGTTTCTCTCAGCTTTTCCTGATAAGCCTAGAGACCCAGTACTGATTTAGGATGGATGAATCCCTGGCCCCACTCTTTTGCAGTGTCTTAAGTTGTTCATGTAATCAATCAGCGGAGAATCACAGCACAGCTCCACCTATCCTATTTCCCCCCACTCTTTTATTTATAAACAAAATCAACAGAATAAGTGCAGAAAAGAATATTGGCAGCCCCTTGCCCCCCGTTACCTGCAGCAGGCAGTGCTCTCAGAAATGGTATTCTGCAGCCAGGCAGTGATGGCAGACAGAGGTAACCACCCCCCTCCCACCAAAGAGAGCTACACCAGACAACCCAAAATATCGACCGAGTCACACTAATACCCCATTGCAGTGCAGTGAGCTCTGGCTCCTTCCTAGAAGTGGCTTATTGCCTATGAATTTTCATTGCTTGGGGTTTTTTTATTTTTTGCATTATCAATTTAGGTTGTCTCTAATCTCTCCTTCTGGGCTAGTCTGAAATCACTCTTCCACAAGAGCCTGGCATCCACTGGAAGGGTAGCAAGTTAGGAAGAGAGAAGTGCCTAGGAGGAGATGCACCTTAAAGCTGCCCTTCCTCACTTTATTAGTGTAGGGCAGGAAACAGCCAAGCACAACTGAATCTCAAGGTCCATTTGTCCTCATCCCAAAGGGTAAGTTGCTAAGGCTACTCTCCAGAAAGTGGAGGAAAGGAAACACACACTACTTTGCTTTCTCAAAGCAAAGGAGGTTTCAGTCTAGGACCTGGAGAGGGGCAGAGCTTTGGGGCACCAGCTTAACCACCTTCTTTTTCCATTCTCATTGGCCAGCAGCAAAAAAAAAAAGGAAAAAAAAAGCCCTCTACTATGAGACAACGCAGGCCACTGCCCAAGTGCCATAAAAAATAAATACATTAAAACGTTTTTCAGAATACATACAAACAAAACAATTCATGTTCCCAATTTGAGTTTGGGAAGGACAAACCATCTAAATATACCTGTTTCCCATCCATCTGCTATCCCACACACTTGGTCAGGTAGCTACAACTGAACAGCTCTGACAGACTGGAGGGGTAAGTTGAACGGTACCGTTGTGGAATAAGAAACATTTGATTCCTCAGATAAAAGGTTAAGACAGTTGCTATTCCCATAGCAAGTAGAAAAAACATTTCAGGATCTTAAGGGGGGGGGGGAGCTTGAGTTGTTCAGCTGTGTGCCCTGCAACACTAGGATAAGGGAACCTACGTTTTCCTCCTTCTCCATTCTTCCCAGCTCACTTAGAGAGCTGCATGGCGATATCAACACAGATCCACTGCTGTGCCCTACCACAATCACCTTCTCCTCCTTGTTCCAAATAAATATTAGAGCTTTCTGCCCACATGCCAGCAACTCAGTAAAACTGCTAGCTTGAGACTTCCATGGAGGAAAAGGCTGTAACAGCACCAAGTGAAGAGATGGTAGGGTGGCGTGTCCTCTGCCTTACCCACCCACCCTTGCCACCCAAGGGAGTAAACAATCTGGTTAGCAGCAGCTGCTTGTCATATGCCAGAGCTGGATTCTCGCAGTCAATCTGTCCTATATGGCACAGAAAAAGGGAACACCGCCTGGCACTGCCAACTTTCAAGTCCAAACCGTACTCTTCATAAGGCATGAAGGGGATTCTTGAGGAGGGCAGCAAAAGAAGGCAGGGCATCTGAAAAGTAAGAAGGGCCAAAACAACCATATCCGACATGAGTGTGGCTCTGCCAGAGTGCCACACACATATACACACACACAGGGAGAAGCATATTCTTCCTTACAAGTTGGACTGCGGTCCCAAAACGCCATCAGCAGAAAATAGAGGAAGCATTCATCCCTTTGTACCAACAAGCCAAGTCTCATTTGATTGATAGGGGTGCCCAGGGTCTTCCTCCAGGAAACCACCTCCTGTCTGCTGGCGAAGGTGTCCTCATAGTGCTGAGATGTGTCGGGCAAGGAATGTAGGCACGCATACCTGCCTGCGTGGGGAGTTGAGAGCGCCACTTTGGCCAAGACTGCACCAGGAGGATTCTTTTTCAGAACTTGCCCTGCTTTAACTTGTCAATGTGGTAGGTGAGTTTCAGTGCTGGCCCAAGCTTCAAGCCCATGTACTTCATCATCATATCGCTGCGCAACAAGAGCAAGGCCTTGCCATCAATCTCCTGGAAACACAGAACAGAGAGAACCACATTTGTCTGGCCAAGCCTCTCACAGCAAGATAATGCCTCAACATGGCCAGAAGCAAAACTTTAAGGAGACGGGTGGGGCTAGCACTAGTTTGAGATAATGCTATGGCTGGGCTGGTGGACTTTTCAATGTTACTTGTATAGAAGATGGAACTTGTTCCAGGCACTGCTTTTTCAAAGCTGTAAGGCACTATGGCATAACAAGCGGCACATACGAAAATCTCAGCTGTACAACCTTTAAAGCAGGTCTGGGGAATGTGTGGCCCGCCAGATGTTACTGGACTACAACTCCCATCATCCCTGAGCAGTGGTCATCATGGCTGAGGAAATGGAGTCCAACAACTTCTTGAGGGCCGCACATTCCCCACTCCTGCAGTAGGATATTGAGACTATGTGGCTGCACATCTAGATATACACAGGGTTGTTGCAGGCTAGCAACAAAGTGGGGCAATAGCTTGGTGGTAGAGGACATGTTTTGCATGCAGAATGTCCCAGGTTCAATCCATGGTCTTTCTAGTTAAAAGGCTCAGTTAGCGGGTGATAGGTAACACTGCTCTTTGCCAAAGACCCTGGAGAGCTGCTGCCAGTCAGAGTTGACAAAACTGTGGGCTAGGTGGACCAATGGTTTGTTTAAATATAAGGCAGCTTCCTTTGTTTCTATGTTCCAGTTCCAGCCTTGCTACCAACACTGCAATTGTTTACAGCAGGCACGGGGAACAAGTGATGGGACTCCCATTTCCCATCATACCTGATTTTGCAAACTGAGGGAAATTGAAGTCAATAACATCTGGAAGGACACCCATTCTATTCCTATTCCAAAAGATGAAAAGGGTGGTCTTCCCTGTCTAAAGCCAGTATAGCTATTTGGGAAAAATCTGACCTGTAGCAATTTTTTGTTCCTCCCCACAACCCACTGCTCTTCATCAAAGGCAGTTATGCCCTTTTTGCATATACATAAATAAATCCAAATTCTGCAAGCAGAGAAGCTGTTTGGCACAATTCTGCTTTTGCTAAAAACAGGGAAGACAGCAACTTCTGTAAGTCACTGGATATCTTTTTCAGTCTTGCCCAAATACTTTAAAGGCTGAATTGCATTGTTAGGTTGAAAGGAGAGATTGTCAGGGAGCCACATCTGAAAGCCCAGACAAGGTTTCATGCTGGCTATCAGCTAGTGTCAACTTTGCCTGCTTTCTCTCTCTCTCTCCTGACAGTGCCCACCACCAGCATTTTACCTCATCTCTCTCCCCTTCTTGAACTGTATAGATTTGCTTCACCAGCACATACTCCCATGATTAAAAATGAAATCTAAGATGATGCTATCACCAGACTTAGGGGGAGGGAGATTTCATGGGAGCCTTTTATGTACTGTGGGAACAACTCTTGCCTCAACTCTCCCCTCCAATCTACGCTGGGGATGTTTTGTTTATTCCTTGAACCAAATATGTGAAATCCCAAGAGGCCCCAGGGGAACCAGACAGATCCTTATTAGATCCCAGCTATTAGTCACCTGCTAAAAGGTGCACAGAGGAGAATGGAAATGTGAGGGCTGCACTCAGTTCAATAAAATAGGTCACTATTCCTGGGCTCAGTTGCCAACTCAGTACCACCAGGAATGTTCCTACTTCACAGTCTCACTTTCCCCCCAATTCCTCCATTCTACATAAAACATCTCCCGCTTATTGCACTACTCCCTCACTGAAATGGCTCAATATATAATAAAATTTGTGCATCTTTTTCAGACATTGAAGTGGGAATGTGGAGGGATATGCAAATACCATTATTTCATTACCAATTAACTGCTTTCAATAACTAAAGCTACAAAAGATGCAAACCAGTTTCCAATATGTATACACACAACATTATAACTGTGCAAAAACTGGCATTCTGCCCAGTCAGGTATGTCGCTTTCAATAGGGCAGTTGCACAGATCTGCGCAAGATGTGCAAACCAAGACGTCTGCCATACAATACTTGTGAAGCTGAGCCTGTGGTGCCTTCAGTGAGACACATGCAGCAGAGATTATCTCTTGTGCTTTGGTCTTTGCTCTACATCTGATGATCAAGCACATCCCCCTGCTGGAGCTTTGCTTCCTCTGACTAGACAAGGACCAAAGCTTCCCAAGGGGAAAGGAACTTGGTACAAAGGAAGTTTGGTAAAAAGGCTTCCTTGTTAAAGACTGCCTCATGGTGGCTGTGAGTGCTTGTACCATGATTCTTGCAGCAGGAGGAGAGTGTGGCCGTGAAAGAGACACCCCAACCCCACAAATCGCCCATGTTGTTGGTTATAGTTACATGCTTTCGGAAGAGGTCTGCATGGGGTCCCAGTTGTGGGTCAGCTTCCCTCACAAACTGCATGACATCTTCCACTGTCCAGCCAGATGGGTCTCGGCTGCCCAGCCGTGAGGTGTCTCGAGGACCAAGGTATCTGTCAGAGCCTAGAGGGAACAACGGAAACAAATCAACAAAACCCAAACACATTTGTGTCCTGGCATGACAGGATACTGGGGACGCGGGTGGCGCTCTGGGTAAAAGCTTCAGTGCCTAGGGCTTGCCGATCGAAAGGTCAGCGGTTCGAATCCCCGCGGCGGGGTGCGCTCCCGTTGCTCGGTCCCAGCACCTGCCAACCTAGCAGTTCGAAAGCACCCCCGGGTGCAAGTAGATAAATAGGGACCGCTTACTAGCGGGATATGCAGGCTCATGATTTTTCCAGATGGTCGTTTTTCAAAAGACTGCCACCCGTTTGGTCAGTGTTAGTTTGCAGAGCCACTTTCACGTGAACAATGGTGCGTGTCACTGGTTGCCCCCTTCTCTTCC